AGGCCATGACTTCAGATGGCACAAGCCTCAAGCCTTGGCAGCTCCCACATGGTTTTGAGCCTGAGAAGGCACAGAAGTCAAGAATTACAGTTTGAGAACCTCTGCCTAGATTTCAAAGGATGCATGGAAATGCCTGGATGCCCAGGAAGAAGTATGCTGCAGGGGCAGGACTCTCATAGAGAGCCTGTTAGGGCAATGAGGAAGGGAAATATGGGGTCAGAGCACCCATGCAGTGTCCCTACTGAGGCACTACCTAGTGGAACTGTGGGAAGACAACCATCTTCCTGCAGACCCCAGAATGGTAGATCCACCAACAGCTTGCACCATGCACGTGGAAACGCTGTAGACACTCAATGCCAGCCTATGAAAGCAGCCAGGAGGGGGGCTATACATTGCCAAACCATAGCGACGGAGCTGATCAAGGTCATGCAAACCTACCTCTTACATCAGTGTAACACAGATGTGAGACATGGAGTCAAAAGGAGATCATTTTGAGACTTTAAGATTTGACTGCCCCACTGGCTTTCACCTTGCATGGGGCCTGTAGCCCCTTTGTTTTAGCCAATGTTTCCCATTCGGAATGGCTGTATTTACCCAATGTCTGTGCTCCCATTGTATCTAGGAAGCAACTAATTTGCTTTTGATTGTATAGACTCACAGGCAAAAGGGACTTGCCTTGTCTCAGACGAGACTTAGGACTGTGGACTTTTGAGTTAATGCTGAAATGAATTAAGATTTTGGGGGACTGTAGGGTAGGCACAATTGGTTTTGAAATACTAGTACATGAGATTTGGGAGGGGGAATGGGCAGAATGATATGGTTTGGTCATGTCCCCACCCAAATCTCATCTTGAATTCCCATGTGTTATGGGAGGCACCTGAGGTGTAGTAATTGAATCATGGGGGCAGGTCCTTCCCCTGCTGTTCTCATGATTGTGAGTAAGTCCCATGAGACCTGTTGGTTCTATAAGAGGGAGTTTCCCTACACCAGCTCTCTCTCTCTTTTCCTGCCCCCACCCACTTAAGATGTGACTTGGTCCTCCTTGCCTTCCTCCATGATTGTGGGGCCTTCTCAGTCATATGGAACTGTAAATCCAATAAAGCTTTCTTTTGTAAATTACCCAGTCTCAGGTATGTCTTTATCAGCAGTGTGAAAACAGACTAATATACCACCAATACTTTTCCTATAATGGGTTCCATTTTGCATATTACTTGCAAGTTCTTTTCAATGTCACATAGTTTAACACATGGAATTCCACACTGCTTTCCGTGTTTTTCTAAAATCATTAAATACCTTTATAATTGCCATTTTAATTGCTTCTTATTTTGGTGTGGTAATAAATATCATTTTTTCCAAAAAAGGAAGTATTTAAAGTCATCTATCTAGTACCATGAGAAGTATTAAGTATGTGAATTATGAATGTAAATATGTTTGTGAATACTAATTGTCAATTTATATAAATATTTTAAAACTAATATTATACAATAAATAGTTTAGATTCTAGTAGCACATTTTAAAGATTTTTTCTTTCTTGAGTTTAAAGGACTGGAAGATTTCATTCAAATTCATTTTGATGGAAGAATATCTTAAAGTTTAGAAAGTTAAACAGCATGCTTTCTTTTAACAGTTAACTTAGCTTTATATAGAAATTTGGAAGGAGTATGATATAAACCTTTCAACTAGTACTCTCTTAAGCACCGGAAAAAATCATTACCTTTCCCATTTCTTTCAATTTCTGTCGTAAGAAGCATAGAGAACAGAACTATATATTTTGGTAATTAATTTCCTTAAGATAATGTTAGAAACATCATGTTCTTTAAAATATAAATGAATTTCAAGGTGAGCATGCTGGAGGATAATATTAATGGCATGTGATTTATTGTGACAAGAGATCTGATCTCAAATAGCATTATTAGGAGTATTTAAAAAATCCATTTGCAAATTCCTGAAAATATGAAAGTGTGCTACGTCTGAGCCCGTCTCAATGTTGAAATCTGAAATATCTGCCATTGTAAGTAGGAAACTGCTTGTGTACAATATGTCTTCCTCATAGAAATTCATCAGAAGACGTTCACATCCTGAATATATTACACTGTGGTTTAGGGAATTACCTAAATGCTTGGAATTATTAATGTAGACTTAATATGCAGATGTATAGATTGAAACATACATGTCTAATTGACTTGGTAATATATGGAATTCTGTGGCTGACCATTATCTTAAAAAATATTTGGCCAGTAATACATTGAACATCTACTACATACCCAACACTTGAACTCGCAATAGAAATGTGTGACTTTCTGTCATTTTAGAGGGCATTTTCTATGTTATCTCCAGCAAGAGTCCATATAAGCTATTTATAAGCAAGATTTACTCATGATTGAAATTTACAAAGACGTTTTAATAAGGTTAAGTCCACATTTTATAAAAAACATTGCCATTTACAAACATATTGTTGTAAATGGCATCTAATCACATATTGAGCAGTGAGGAATTCGTAAATTAGTAGAGCTATTGATAATAAAAAATTAAATAGATATGTGAATAATAGAAGTCTTTATTATTAAGCAGACTTAAAATTATTCTGCAGAAAGAAATTCATTAGCCTCTGACACATGAGAGAGGATAATAAATATTGGCATTCTTACATATAGGTTGTCAAATTTGATTAGCACATAAATGTATTGATGTACCTCTCTATACACTTAATTGTCTCTGCCACCCTCTCCCTCACCACAATTCTCTCCTTTTTCTGTTGCTATGGCTCTCTTTTTCTCTGTCTTTCCCTCTCTCTTCGGTAAGTATAGGACATTAATGCCTTATCAACTGCAAACAATTTATTTTTTGTATATTTCTTAAAGCCTTTAATGAACTTTTTAATTTTAAACTCTCGAAGAGGTACACTCCATGTGGTATTATCCAAACACAGCTTTTGTTTTTTGCTTGAAACATATTTTAATATATGAATATAAACTTCATGAATGTAACATAAATAATATATACAAATATAAATATAAATGCTTCATAGAATAACATGGGAAAGTATAGGCTACTCTATCTTCGAATATGTTTTGTGCACATTAGTAAGTATATTCATTTCCAGGATATTCCAGGTGTGTAATCAAGTGCTGAAATGTATACAGTGCATGTGATACCACTGTTATGTCAATTTATCTTTATATGTGTATCATGAACTGAAACTAAATCTTGTAAAATAAAAATATCTATTCTAGGTACAAGGAAAACTTACAGGTGCAAAATTTTAATTAGATTACTTGGATTTAATTTTAAAATGCACCTGTAGCAAAATTCAAACAGTACAATAAAAAAAAATTCAGTTGTCACCACATCTACTTTGTTTTCTTCTCCAGAAGCAACCAGAGTTATAAAGTGTGTGAATTATGCTGAAAATATATGTACACATATATATCTATATATGCATTTATTTCATTTTCTTTATAATAAAAGGTATAATTTTTTTCTGAACTATGAGGACAAACGTGGATCATAAGGTCACAATTTATTTGTAGGGTATAAAACCAATCAAGGCAATACTAAACAAGGTACGAGATTGCATTTTTAGTTACTAAAACATCTTTTTTTTTTTTTTTTTTTTTTTTTTCTGAGATGGAGTCTTGGCTTGTCAGCCAGGCTCTAGATCTTGGCTCACTGCAACCTCCACCTCCCCGGTTCAAACAATTCTCCTTCCTCAGCTTCCCAAATAGCTGGAATTACAGGTGCCCACCATCACACCGACCAAATTTTTGTATTTTTAGTAGAGACAAAGTTTCTCCACGTTGATTAGACTAGTCTCGAATCCCTGACCTCTTAATCTGCCCACTCTGGCAAACGTGCTGAGATTACAGCCACCACACCCAGCCTACTAAAAACATCTTGATAGGGAAATTTAATAGCAAATTAAATACGACCTCACTAATCATGAAATACTTGCTGTGATGATTTATGTATAAAGTAGTACACTCAGGTCTATCATTTAGAAAACTTAAAAACCATTTTGAAAGAGTTTTAACAGAATTTATTGTGAACCTACATGCGAGAAAATTCTATCAATGTACTCGTGCAAGACAAAATTGAAACAAATCTAAGAATGTCCGGGGGCAGTTATCTAATAAATAGTATGTAACATTTATGGCAAGATGTCAGCCAAATGCAAAGTCAACAAAGCCCCTGGCTTTGAATATTAATAGACAAAGCCACTTAAATATCTATACAGAAATGTTAGTTACGGTTTTGTAACTTTGCGAGCTGAATACAGTGGAAATGAGTAAAACTGAAGCAAAAGATAATTCACTTCTGCCCTACTTTTATAGGGGAGTGAGGTAAAGAGAGCTGTATTTCCTTCTAGAAATTGGGAAGATACAGAACCAAGGCTTTCCCTATTTCCCTGAGTAACTGCGAAGGTCAATGTCTACATTTTTGAAGGGAAAAAATGCTTGCCTATTGCTCTTATGAGGAAAGTAATTTTGTTAGTCAAGGCTTTCCTCCTTGAAGAAATGTCTCTAAGAAATATTACACTCACATTGCTATTACTATAGTTTCTATTGCATTTAGTTGAGGCCAATTTAAGGCTGATAGTTCAAAGATATATAATCCCTATGTAATACACACTTAGCATTATCAAATCAGAACTCTTTGCTTTTCCTTGGGATTAATGTTGATTGCTGTTCATATAAGTCATGAAAACTTCCAGTGTCTCTTAAAACTATAAATTCCATCTTTTACTTGAAATTTTTCTTATATAGCACATGAGAATGAAACAGATGACGCACTGCATTTCCCATTATAGTTGAATCACAACCCAGGAAAAATTTAATTCATTTATCCTATCATCTTAATATTTACACACATACACATACACATACATGAGCACACAAAGCCTCATTAAGACACTATATTATAAAATGTTCTATACCATCTAGTGATCTTTTTATGGCAAAATTCAGCAACCATATCTATAATTTCATCTCCTGTTACCTTACCTACTGTTGAATTTCTCTGGGTGTTTTTCTCTCATGATGTGGAATCTGTGTGCAATGGAGGCATCCTAAGGGGAGAAAAAAGAAAACAAAAACAGGACAGTTTATGATCCTATTATCTTATGGTAATATAGACTAAAATTTAAAAATTACATTTTAAAATGAACTTTACAATATTATTTTCAAGATGATTATGGGAAATCAGGCAAAAATGTATGATCCATAATAAATTATTACAAAAGTGATTTATATAATAATTTCACAGTTGGTTATGTGTTACACTTACATCTAAGATGGTTATTGTTATTACTATTTAATTTATATATATCCTATAATGACTGGCTTTGGCCTCATGTTCAATATATGTTAAAGATAGCACATATGAATGTAAATGTCAAGTAGTAATGGAAAATATTGTTAAACAAGAGTTAGGAGGAGAAATGATCATTACAGAAGCTTCTAATTATTTGAGGTTAATTATGGTTAAAAAGATAGTGTGAGGGTGCATGTCTAGTAAAGATAAGTGCAATACTTCAGATTTTGCTTAGGGTGTCTTGATGTGTAATTAATAAACGTTTCTACCACAAGTAACTTTCTGGCACATCTCGTAGTAATAGAAAAAAACAGCAAAGAGAAACATTTAGTTTGGGGAAATTGATGACACAAATAATTTGTCTTTGAGACCCCAAGCGCATGAGTTCTGATCCTAATGGATGTTTCTTACTTTTAGCAAATACAGAATTTTTCCATGAGACAGAAATCATACTCAATGTGTGAGACTGGTGAAATACTGTTATCCAAGCTTTTCAAGCACAGACGGTTCCAACTGACTCTAAACAATTATCTCTGTTATTCCAAGTGTGGAGATATTTTCCCATTCTTCATCCACACATGATTAATCACTCAAATGAGAAACTAATATATTTACCAGTCATCTCAATAGAAAAGGGCTATTGTTGACATTCACTGTTAATTTTGTTTCATAGTGGAGAGAAAAGAAAAAGAAAACCAAATGTAAGAAAATAAAGAAGTTGTGTATTTCAGAGAATCTTGAAAACACTAATCAAGGATTAAAAGTCTAATGAATGGAATGAAAGGCTAATGTGCTTACTCATGCATAACAAAGCATGAGGCACAAAAAGAGAGGGACCAATGCCCACTGCAGATGGCAGAGAGTTGCAGGATAGAGCTAACTGTCATTTTTGGGGGGATAAACATTTGACACCACAATATACGTCAAGTAACAGAATTAAACCATGAACAAAAATCACTCAGACACGTACGTAAAGACATATAGAAACAATGCTTATAATAAAGGTTACAAAAATTCCCCTCTATGGTTTAATATTTAAGATGTTGTTTTGCTATATAAACAAGGCCAAATTCTTGGTTTGCCAGGAAGTACAAATATCAAGATGGTTCACTTTTATTGTTCCAATGATAACACTCAAATCTAGTCACAAAGTTCCTTGTTATAAATTTAATTCTATTAAGTCATAAATATATTATACTTTAGAATATGAAGTTGTCTTATTGTGGTATGAGATTACAGGAAAAACATCTGAACTGGGCTATTTATATGTGGCATAATCATCCATTCATTTTAAAAAGCATTTATTTTTACTTTATCCATAATCTGGTACAAAATCAATTTGGAAAACCTTCCAATTAAATGCATACATTTAGCAGCCTAGTTAAACAAAAGCAAAGGAATATGAATCAAACACTAAGAATGAATGATCAATATTGCTTCCCATAGGGAGAATATCATTGAATTTACTTCTGCTTGAATTATTTGTTTCTGCTAAGTTGGGGAGACTGAGACTTTTAAAAATAGATTGTGTACTACAATTTTCTTTACAAGTGTATATTTTTGTAATAACAAATCTCTCCCTTTTCAAAGCAACATAAACAGAACAGAGAAAGGGAGAAAAGAGAGGAGGGAGAAGAAGAGAGGGGAAATATATCAAAAGACTATTTAAGTAGACCAGACTATAATTGAGTAAACTCCTAGAAACACAGGACTGCACAAAATTAAAACTAATATTAGCTTATCTATCTTCAAGCTACTTGGGCAATGCAACATTTGGTTAAAAGGGGGAAAAATAAAAATTAGTGTCAAACACTAGCAGGTTTTTCCTTGTGTTGAATAGGTTCCACCATCAAAAGAGAGCTGGCATTGCTGACTACAGGATTGATAAGGAACAATGACAGCAGGTGTTCATTTGGATGAGAATCCAGACCCAATTCACATGGGACCCCGTCCCTTTGGCATAACCCCAAGGGGCTTGAGAGAGTACTGCCAAAATCTGCAACGTTATCCAGCAGTCATTTTTCAAGGGACACTAAAGGTTCTCTAAAGACAGACCAAATAAGAAACAGCTAAAATGGCATTTTAAAATAAATTTTACCATTTCTGTGGAGACGCATTATAGTTTTTAGACAACAGAAATAAATCAGCATTACTTCCGCTCCCTAGAATGTGGAAAGTCTGACTTCAGACTTTCCACTTCCATGCCTTGTGACTTTAAACAAATTATTTATTTATTGAGAATCACAGCTTCCTAATCTTTAAAAGAGGATACTGATATCCCTTCAAAGTATCTTGGTGGAGATTTAATGAGATCATTCTGTATAGCAATTGGAACAATATTTTGTATAGTGCAGGTTTTCATACATTTTATACGTAAACCAGAATTTTCTTCAAGTTAAAAGTTAAACATTGTTAAATGGTATATTTTTGAAAAATGTTTTTACAGACTCAAGTTGCTTTTTATTATTTCCTTAACCTATATAGGTCAATGGCTATATAGCTTTATTTTTAATTAATTAAAAATCATATCTAAGAAGTAAAAATAAATCAATTTTATTAAAGTAAAACAAATTTAAACCTCATGTGTTATTCAAACATCCAAAAAATAATTAGCAACTTTTCTTGCTACATTTACATATGTATCAGTATATACAAATATATGTGTATCAAAGAATCAGCTTATTAGCCATATCTGTCTCCAATACTTTATCACTAGTATTTTTCTGAAATGTATTTTTCATCAGTATTATCTTTTATTCTATTTAAAGACTCTTTCTTTCACAAACAGTTTCTAAAACTTGTCAAATAAACTGTTCTTATTCTTGATGATATAACCATTGTACCACAAACCTTCTCAATTTTATTCCATTTCGGAACAGAATATAAACTTAGCCAATTAGAAATGAATGTCATCAAAAGAGTTATTCCAAAATCTAATTGTAGAATTTAAAATGATCTTGCATACTACATGGATTTTTTTGTTGAAATAATTTAATTCTTCCTTGTTTTTGGAGGGACAAATTCCAATCTCTCCCTGTGTGCAAACTTTTCTTTATCTCAAAAATTATAATTTGCTAAAAATTTTCAAAAACTGAAGTTTTGCTCTATTTGTTATTTTATTAAAACTTTCCAGTAATTTTTTGAAGTGTTATTACAAGAAAATTGCCAATTTTAAGTGAACATTTCAATGAATTTTGTCAAAGGTATACAATAACTACAGTCTTTTCCTATGCTTTCATCTTTTCATATATCTTCTTGTATGGACTACACATTGAAGTCTGTGTCCATTTATCTCTGCATATTAAATTGACTGGGTTCAAGATCCAGCTCTAAATTTTAGTAAATATTTTGTCTTGAAAAGTTTGCTTAGATTTTCATTATTGCCACTTTCCTATCTTAAGAATAATTTTAATATCTGTCTTTTTTTGAAGATCTGATGTTCTAGTACCTAGATGATAGCTATAACTGTGCCTGGCATATAGAAAGCAAGAAAATAACTGTTAATTGTTGCTATTACTGAAATACATTCATGATTTTGAGATTCATAAACTTCTTCATTTGGTTTACTGATATGGTTAACTAAACAAATTCCGTAATCTTGAAGACGAAGTACCTGGGGAAAGTTATGCTTGGTATTCGGAATTTTGTGAGTTATGCATGCATATATGATAAATTATCTAACAAACTCAAAAAACCCAATATATACTTAAACTTCACATAAAGATTTCTACACTAGTACATATGAATATTGACTCAAGGAAAGATAAATTAACAATGTGAGATAGAGCTAATTATAATTGCAGTTACATTAAAAACACTTCACTTGGTAACACTACAAAGAACAGGTTAGTTCAGGTTATAGTTCTCACCTATCAACTACTGAAATTTGGGTTTTCAAAGCTTTGTTATATTGAGCTTTTACATAAGATGTTATGTTTCTTGACAAAAACAAGCAATGGGGAAAGGACTCCCTGTTTAATAAATGGTGTTGGGAAAACTGGCTAGCCATGTGCAGAAAGCAGAAACAGGACCCCTTCCTGACACCTTACACCAAAATTAACTCCAGATGGATTAAAGACTTAAACATCAGACCTAATACCATAAAAACCTTAGAAGAAAATCTAGGCAAAACCATTCAGGACATAGGTGTAGGCAAGGACTTCATGACCAAAACGCCAAAAGCAATGGCAACAAAAGCCAAAATAGACAAATGGGACCTAATCAAACTCCACAGCTTCTGCACGGCAAAAGAAACAGTCAGTAGAGTGAATCGGCAACCAACAGAATGGGAAAAAATTTTTGCAGTCTACCCATCTGACAAGGGGCTGATATCCAGAATTTACAAAGAACTAAATCAGATCTACAAGAAAAAAACAAACAAGCCCATTCAAAAATGGGCAAAGGATATGAACAGATACTTTACAAAAGAAGACATACAGGAGGCCAACAAACATATGAAAAAATGCTCATCATCACTGGTCATCAGAGAAATGCAAATCAAAACCACATTGAGATACCATCTCACACCAGTTAGAATGGCGATCATTAAAAAATCGGGAAACAACAGATGCTGGAGAGGATGTGGAGAAATAGGAACACTTTTACACTGTTGGTGGGAATGTAAATTAATTCAACCATTGTGGAAGACAGTGTGGCGATTCCTCAAGGACCTAAAAATAGAAATCCCATTTGACCCAGCAATCCCATTACTGGGTATATATCCAAAGGATTATAAATCATTCTACTACAAGGACA